ACCCAAATCTGGGTTTTTCTCAAACCCAGATCTGGGTTTCATCACATAACATGGAAACTAATCTCGAATATACTAAACAGCAAAGCCGAGATCTCCTAAGCCAACTAATAGAAAGGAACATAGATTAAAAAGAGTAAAGAATTCTAGAAAAAAAGCTATTTGAGCCAAATCACATACAAGCCAAAGCCAACTGCAGATCTAATCTCGAAAATAATCAACACGAAAACCACTTAATCAACTCAGAAAATACACATAGAAAACACAAAATAAGCAAAAGAACAAAACCAGATCTATACCCTCCTTTTCTTCCCTTTCACCTTGATCACTCGTGCCCTGTTCAAACCCAGATCTGGGTTTGTTTTGGAGAGGAAGAAAAACCCAGATCTGGCCATCCGAATTCGATAAGAAAAACCCTCAAGTCTAACACCTCAATAACCCCTTCCTTCGCCAACTTCCTCGCGCTTCATACTCTCCTTCATCCCCTGTGTTCCCATCAACAACTCTATCAAAATAACTCCAAAACAATACACATCAAATTCGGTGCCGCTTTGGTTATTTCCCTCATCATCTCTTCCCTTTCTGCGCCCGATGTTTCCAATCTTGACGTTGGCGATGCATGGGTCGAGATTATCAGATAGAAGGATGTTGGACAACACCGGTGACCGTGGGTGGTGCCGATGTGATGTAGGTAATTTATGTGTGAAACTCAGATTTGAGTTTGAGAAAAACCCAGATCTGGGTTTGAGAGAAGATCTGGATTTTGGATGGCCGCAAAAGGCACACCAGGATCGCTTCACTCATGCTCTTCGCTTGCTAAGTGAACCATTCATCGGTGCCGAGGAAGAAGCCTGGGAAAGAAGAAGGGGCGAATGGATGAGAGAGACGAAGGGAGGAAGAAGAAGATGAATAATCTAATATTAAATTATGTTGGTCTTTATTTAAATAAGAAAAAATTGCCACATGGAAAAAGAAAAATGCCATCTCATTAAGTTTATTTTCCACGTAATTATTATTATTTTTTAAAATGTGATTTTGTGGCAAGATACCATGCCACCTATCATTTAACTGACGGAAGGACGGTTTTGTATCGAAAATGAAAGTTTAAGAATAATTTTGATATTTTTTTAAATTGAAGGACAATTTTGACACCAAAGTGAAAAGTTGAGAGACCAAAACGGTACTTAAACCAAAAAAATTTTATTGGTAGGCATAAACATGGCCCCGTGCTGCCTTTGGGATTGCGACCTTCTCTTTCTCTCTCCATCTCATCAACTACAAAACCCACAAAACCCTATACTCGCGTTCCTGCTTGGTTCAGTCTCAGCATACGGCAGTCGTATTCGATTTAGGGTTCTTGATTTCATTTTGAGTACAATCTTGGGTCATCAAATCCAGCGGTTGTGGTTTTCTCATCTCCATTTTTTTTTTTACATTTGAATAGGTTATATAAAAGGAATAATTTTTTTTTTCTTTAAATCTCTCTTTATTGGATTCAAGAATTGAACTTAAAATTTTAAATTTTAAATTTTAAATTCTTAACTATTGTACTTTAATTATTGTGTCATCCCATTGGGGTTAGAAAATGGAGGACATTTTTTTTTTTCTTTAGTTGAATGAACGAAAAAAAGCATTGCTAGCATCAAATATCTTTCGCCCATTCTGCCCGTTTCAGAGAAATTTATTGGTTACACCTGGTACATACATCTATATCTCTCTTGATTGAATTGGATTCTATTGACTTTTTCTTCTTTTTTTTTTTTAGAACTGAACCAGATTCAAGTCAACAGAAAATCCATATCAAATTGATACAATACATTCATCTACCCCCTAGCTGAATGCCTCCTCGTATTTTCATTCCCTATGGGGTCCAAAGCTCTTGAAGCTGCACTAGAGACCTTCCATTCACTGTCATAGCTGACGACCCAAGAGAAGTACCCACGAAAGCCCATGTCCAAGAGTAGGGGTGTTCAAATCCGATCCAATCTGATTAATCCGACTTAAACTGATCCAATCCGATTAAAAACCAAACCAAATCGATATAAAATCAGGTTGGTTTGAATTATAAAAATTTAAAACCGATATAATTGGTTTAGCTTGTGATTTTACTTTCAAACTGCCCGAACCGTTC